ACACACACACACGCACACACAAACACACACACACACACACACACACACACACACGCACACACACGCACACAGACACAGACACACAGACACAGACACACACACACACACACACACACTATAATTACTTGGTGAAAATTTGTTTTTCATCATCCACATCTCAAAATTTCACTTACCTTGCATGTCAGCCTCCGGCATTCTGAAGCTGACTGTACCACCGTACTACCGTATTTAAGGGCAGTTAACAGAAACAGAAAGCATTTGAGAAACCCGAAAAGCAGGTCTGCGTTGAATTGTTTTAGCTCCTTCTTTGGCTGTTTGTGTTACACGGGAAGGTACTGTGAAGAATTTAAATATTTGTTGTTAGCTGATTTGATCCAATCGTATTATCTTGGTCAGTCATAAAACCTTTAATTGATATTAAGTCAATTCAGTATTTTGTTTGATATAATGCTATTGTTTGGAAGTGGTTGACAAGAAAGAGCAATGTCGACACTTTTTTTGTTGTTCCTATGAAAATGTGTACTGATTCCTTTTGGACTGGTCCTGAAAACACCGCCAGCAACTATATTGCACCATGGCTTGATCATGGCTTGATACAATATAGTTGCTGAATATGTTTTCAGTACCAGTACATATGTTTTTCTGGTCCATGAAGCTAGTAAGTTGGTGTGAAGGACAACAGATTGTTTTTTGTTTTCATATCACGATGTTCCTCAATGGAACTATGTGCAACTGCAGTATGTGGCTCTTCCACATTCCTCTTTGTCTTCTAGTTCTCTGAAATCACAACAGCATCAGTGATTATATGTGCAATTATTGCAAAAGAACATCATAACGCCAAGGGATTGTATCAGATGTAGAGGCATGATACATATCCCTGGAATAGAATTTTATTTTCACTGTCATCTTAACAATACAAACCAGTCCACCAAATTGTTACTCAGCTTCTTCCTGACATCAGTCAGGAAATCAGAATGCTCACTTTAAAGTCAGAATTCTGTGAACAAAGTCAGAATTCTGCGATAAAAGTGAGAAAATCTTTCCAACCTTTCTTTTTTTTTCCCCACTTACCATAATCCTCTTTCCTTTCCATTTTAACCCTCAGTATGCCCCGGTGGGAACAGTGAGGAAAAATGCTATTCGAATTCTGTGGTTGGGGTTAGTGGCTGTAGAATTCATCACGGGTTTATAGTGTGCCTCAGCACATAGGTAAATGTTTCGATTAGGACGTGGGAGCAAAGTTCCGTTTTTTTCACCATCGGAATTGGGTGAGTAATACGTGCTTGTATGTTGGTGGCGGTGTGATTAATTTTCTGTTCTTTAAGATTCAGATAAATTGTAGGACGATGCAGTGTACAGTAATCCCTCGTTTATCGGGGTTAATGGGGACCAAAACCACCCGCGATAAACGAAAATCTGCGAAGTAGCGTCCAATTAACATAAACAGGTAAAAAAAAAAATATATTTTTTTTAAAGTCCACAAACGGTCCGTTATTTTTTTTTTTTTAAAGTCCGCAAACGGTCCGCAAGAGGCTGCAAAACAACAGCGAGTCACATAGAGCAACATTTACAGTACTGTACTCCATGTATATGGAAAAAAAAAAAAACACCTTTTTTTTTTATATGTTTGAAAAAATCCGCGCGATGCACTGAACCCGCGATAAACGAACCGCGAAGTAGCGAGGGATCACTGTACTGCTGTGTTAATGACATACAGTAGATGGCGCTGTGCTCATATTTATAAGCAACGTGATATTTGACTTTGAATGAAGCTGATTGCTGATGTGTGGACATGGCCAAGTGATAAAGATACCCCCACTGCCACCATTGGAACCACTGTTCAAGACCATTCACCGCCAACATTTCCCAGACACGCAGTTTTGGTGTCCTTGAGGAAGAGACTGATACACTTAACTGATCCCCAGGTACTAGTAGCCCACTGGTCCAGTGTGTGCCACAAACTTAGATTGTGCATTTGCCGCGTCCCCTTCTGTGTTCAAATATAGAGTTGAATTTCATGTAAATGGCCCAAAAAGATGATTCTAATTCACTTGTTTCACTTTTCTCTCTACTTGTAAAGGTTCAAACAGGGAACAACTACAATGCAACCACAGACACTGAGCACACACTAGTGTACTTTGCCATTCTGAATAGTGGGATACAGTATTTTTCTTGATACATTCAGCAAAAATAACAATAAAAAGGTCTGTACTGCATGTATGTAACACTATGCATGTGCCTTATACTGCTAGATTGAGAATTAAATCTCACATGACAATGATTTACCAAAAGTAACGATAATGTCCCAGTCCCAGTAACTTTAAGGCCAGTCCAGTAAAGCGAATTAGTAATTCGAAGTATATTGTGAAAAATCATCTATAGTTGATCATGCCGTGTTTTAAACAATATGCATCATGATCATTCTCTTCCGCTTGTCTAAGGTTGAGTCACGAGGGCAAGCTTAAGCAGGGAAGCCCAGACACCCCTCTTCCTCGCCACTTCCTCCGGCTCCTGCTGGGGGATCCCAAGACAGCCCGGAGACATCGTCTCTCTAGTGTCACCTGGTTCATCCTCAGGTCCAACTTGCAGCGGGACATGCCAGCAACACTGTTATGTTCAATAAAACACATGGAGTCGGACTCTGTGCTCACTGCCGTTTATTCTCAGGAGACACATTTTATATAGCAACGCTTTTCGGCATCTGCCTGCTTTACGGTCGTGACGTCACACCGTCGTAACATTACCCAATGGCTGTGGTTACATGCCACATTCACCCCCCCTTTTTTTAAAGTGCAAAACATATTAATAGCACACAACTTTAAGGCCAGAACGTGGCCAACCTATCTGGGTAAACAGGGTAGACTACCTGTTTACCTGCATAGTCATGTGGTTTATTATGCCACATAACAGACTATGCGCTAACCTAAGCCTGAATTAAGGACATAGTCCTTGAGGTACAGGGGCTGTCGACGAGCCCGAACAGGGCGGAGCCTCGGTCCGAGGGCGTCACCTGGCACCTCGGGTTCGGGTGGAATTCCCGGGGTTACCGGAGGGAAATCCCAGTCCCCAGCAGTGTGGCGCGGATCAGCCGCGGCGGCCAGTTCTTGTGCCGACGGTGGGTTGACGCGCCTCAGGCGGCTGGCATGCCAACGGGAGCCGTCAGCCAGGCGGAACATAGCTGGGCCCAATTGTGCTATTATCTGTTGGGGTGAGGACCAGAGGGACAGCAGCTTGTGGGACCGATGGGGCCGGCGGATACGGACCCAGTCCGTCACCTTGAGCGTGTGTCCTCTCACCCGATGCGCTCTGTCATAGCGGTGCTTCATCCGGCGTTGCGTCTCTGCCACCATGTCGCCGACAGAGGGCCCTGCTGCTGGAGGGCCTGGAGGATCTTCCCTGGGAGGCCGCAGCCGATCCATGGGAAGTTGGAGTTCCCGTCCTAGCATCAGAAGGGCTGGGGAGCTACCTGTTGTGGCATGTGGCGTAGCTCTGTAGTGCAGCAGTGTGTTCTGTAGGGCCTTGCCGAATGGGAGACCTTCGGTCAGATGTGCTCTCAGGCCGTTCTTGAGGGTCTGGTTGAACCTTTCCACCCCCCCGTTGGCCTGCGGGTGGTACAGGGCCGTCCTGATGTGCTTAATCCCCCTCTCCCCTGTGAAAGCAGCGAAGTCAGCCGAGAGGAACTGGGGCCCGTTGTCCGTGGTAACGGCGTCTGGCACACCCCAGCGGGCAAACAGGGAGGAAAGAAAGTCAGTGATCTGTTGTGTGGTTACTGACCCCACGGGAAGGACCTCCGGCCACTTGGAGTGGAGGTCATAGGCCACCAACAGGAACCGCTGGTGATGAGGAGTGCCATGAAGCTCCCCACAGATGTCCACCTGGATGTGGGACCACGGCGTCGCTGGCCACTGGAGGGGCTGCAAAGGAGGCGTCGGGGGCGGGCCCGTTTTACCGCTGGCAAGGCAGGCGGTGCAGTCCTTCACCATCACTTCAATGTCTCTATCGATGCCGGGCCACCAAACCAGGCTCCTGCAGCGCTGCTTTACTCTCACGATGCCCAGGTGACCGTCGTGTGCCATGTTCAGGATGCGTGGTCGTAGAGAGCTGGGGATCACCGTGCAGAGCCCCCGAGCGACGCAGTCTCCATTCCAGCAGGAAAGGTCGTCTCTGACCCGGTGGAAGGGCGCCAGCTCCTCTGGCACCTTTGCAGGCCAGCCCTCCTGGATGAACGTGCGGAGCTGTACGAGCACAGGGTCCTGTGCAGAGGCCGCCTGGAGCTCCTGCAGGGAGACGGTTGTTCGGAGGGGGTCGTGCAGCATGAGGATCAGCTCTGACTCTGAGCCGTCCGGGGCGGTGTCTGGCGCTGGGGTGGGCGTGGCCCTGGAGAGTAGATCAGCCACAACGTTATCTCTGCCGGGTGTGAACACTGTCGTGAAGTTGTAGGCTTGTAGTCTCTCTGACCACCGGTACAGGCGCAGCGGTTTGTGTCCCGACCCTGTCGTGGCCAGGAGGGCGGTGAGTGCTTGGTGGTCAGTCCGGAGCGTGAAGTGCCGCCCGTAGAGGTACATGTGCCACCGCTCACAGGCCCAGACGCAGGCCAGCGCTTCTCTCTCCCCCACCGAATACCTCTGCTCTGTGGGAGTCAGAGATCGTGAGGCAAATGCCACGGGACGTTCGGTCCCCCCGTGTAGTTGGGACAGGACCGCCCCCACCGCCGTGTTGGACGCGTCGCAGGTCACCAGCGTAGGGCTCTGGAGGTCGAAGTGGGCGAGCACTGGAGGGGAGGTAAGCTGAGTCTTCAACTGGCGGACCGCCGCGGAGCACGCGGGTGTCCAGGACCAGGGGGCATCCTGTTTGAGGAGCGCGCGTAGCGGCGCCGTGGTCTCGGAGTAGTGTGGGAGAAAACGCAGGTAGAACGCAGTCATGCCCAGGAAGGAGGACAGCTGTGCGGGGCAGGTGGGCTCAGGCAGGCGTAGGATGGCTTCTACATTTGAGTGGAGTGGACTGAGGCCGTCAGCGTTCAGGCGAAAGCCCACAAACTCGATGACCGGCGCGGAGAAAATGCATTTCTCGCCGTTTAGCGTGAGGTTGTGGTGGGAGAGCACCTCAAGCACCCTGGTGAGGCGCTCGTCGTGTGAGGCTGCCGTCGCGCCGTGCACCACTATGTCGTCCAGGTACACGACCACGCCAGGGATGCCGGCGAAGATGGTGGCCATGATTTTCTGGAAGCAGCTGGGGGCGGAGCTAAGTCCAAAAGGCATGCGGGTGTACCTGAACACGCCCATGTGCGACACAAAAGCGGTGAGGTTGCGGCTCCCTGGGTGCAGTGGAACCTGCAGGTAACCCTGACGGAGGTCGAGCTTGGAGAAGACTGTGGAGCCGTGAAACTTGGCCGAGAGCTCTTCCGTCGTGGGCAGAGGGTATTTATCAGGTATCACTGCTTTGTTCACCTGTCTGAGATCGATGCAGGGGCGAAGGCCACCCGCCTTCTTCCGTGCCACCACCAGGTTGGAGATCCATGGCGATGCGTCCACCCGTTCAATGATTCCCGCGTCCAGAAGCTTCTGCAGCTCGGCTGTAACATCAGCTCGTAGGGCGAGGGGCAGACGGCGGAGAGGCTGGATGACTGGGGTCACCTCCGGGTTCAGGAGCGGCTGGTGGTTGAAGGCGGTGAGGCAGCCTAGTCCAGCGAACAGCGAGGGCCAGCGGTGCAGCCAGGGCGCGGCAACAGTCAGTATGGTTGTACCCATGTTGTCGGTAATGGAGAAACCCAGGGCACAGAACAGGTCGAAACCAAGGAGGTTGGCGCCCTTGCGGGACACCTGAAAGGTGAAAGCTGGGAGGGTTCGAGCGCCATAGCGTACAGAAAAAGTTGCGGTGCCAACCATGTCGATCTTAGTGTGCCCATAACCAAACAGGTCTTCCGTGCCAGGTTTAATAATCATCCGTGGAAAGAGCTGCCGGACCGTGGACTCATTCAGGAGTGATTTGGAGGCCGCGGTGTCCAGCAGCAGAGACAGACACACGCCGTCCAGCTCGACCGCGCACCACTTGAACGGCTTGGCGTCGGCGCCCACCGAGTGGATGGTGGTGGAGCCAGATCCGTCGGTTAGGTGGGGCCGGGGGTTCGCTGGGGCAGTAGCAGAGCGGCAGACTTTAGAAAAGTGGTTTAGCTTACCACAACGTTGGCACCGTTGTCCTAGTGCCGGGCACGTGGGCGCACGTGTGTGGTGTGATGAGGAGCCACAGTTCCCGCAATGTTGCCTCATTGTGGCGCCTCGACGTACCGCGACGTTAACCTCCGGCTCGTCGAGAGGCGCGGTGGTGTCGGGAAGTGGGGCCGTAAGAGCAACAGTATGGGATGAAGGAGGCAGAGTTGTAGCGAGGTGGGGAAGGGCCGGAGCTGGGCCCGAGGCGGCTAGCCGGGATGCTAACAAGGCCGCAGACTCGAGCTGGAAGGCCAGTTCCACCGCCCTAGACAGCGACGTGTCGTCCGGCGATAAAAACAGCTTCTCGCGCAGTTTAAGGTCCGTCGTGTGTTCGGCTAGCTGGTCTCTGATCATCTCGTCTTCCAACTCCCCGAACCTGCAGAGGCTGGCTAGGCCCCGGAGGTCGGCGACGTAATGGCGGACCGACTCACCGGGCCGCTGCCGGCGCTGCCGCAAGACAA